TGAAAACTGTTACTTACAAAATTTTTTTTTTTTTTTTTTTGATTTTCTATATTCTTTTCTTAGTTTGGTTCGGTATGACTTTTTTTTTATAAATAGCTAAAAGTTAAGAATTTTCAAAACATATGCATACGTATGCTTACGTATAAATGTCGTATAAATTGACCAAAAATTGAGTAACAGTTTTATAAAAAAAAAACCAAGAAAAAATAGATAAATGAATAATTTGTTCCAAATAACAAATTTTTTTACTCTAAAAATGTTAACACTAAGAAGTGTCTGCTTTTCAACAATAATACTTAACAGAAGATAAAAAAAAAACACCAACTAGTTACGTGTTTTACCATTTTGTTGACATGACGTGAATTTTTTAAATTACCACTTAAAAATTGTCTAAATAAACGATGTTTTTTTAACATTTTATTCATTGTCACTATCAGCTGTTGTTGCCGTCTGCGAATTTTGGCTAATTTTCTGCAAACAGCAAGCATTAATCAGTTCAGTGCTTCGCTGTTTTCCAGTAGCTTTGTTATCCTTTCAAACAAATCCGATAAGATTTGAGTTCAGCAATTTTAGGTTGACAAATTTTGTTGTACGTCTTTTGTTCCTCAAAACGTCTTATCCGTATTCAAAAAATTTACTGCAGAAACAAAAAAATAGAAAAGCAATATTAATTGTAATAAAATGTTTTTGACAGATACACTGAAGTATAAAATTAGAACTGATTAGCTAAATGATTAATTTTTGTCGGTAGATTCTCTGTATAAAGCCGCTTAAATAAGGCAGTAATTTAGTGCATTTAAAGTATTCTGTTGTAAAGTTCTTTTTATTTGACTACTTTTGATATTTGAAATTTACTCATAAACAAATTTTTACACTATTCTTATCATTGCTTTACTTATTTATGCACCCATTTATGATAGGCTTATACTAGCAACTGCATAATTAAACAAAAGTTTCAGAAGATTTGCAATTATAATAGAAAGCTTTTCAAACGATGCAAAATCTTTTGCTTTCTTTTTTTTTGCAACGTATGTTTTTCTTCATGAATGACACTATTAAAAGTTTACCAAATTTTTAAAGCAAATTTCTAAACATTGCAGTTTAACAACTGGGTATATTTCACTTCTTTCTGCTTTCATATATGTAGATAGACTGACAAATGCAATTATCAGCTGCAACTGCTAGACTAAAAATTAGTATAAGTTATTAATGTAAATGGCAGTTAAAAGTTCTTATCGAAATGTCATTCTGCATATCTGTAAAATTTGAGAATTTTAAAGAATATGTAACCTCCAATATTATTTTTTGTTCTGTTTTCCGACAAAAAATACAGTTTTACCACTTGTTCAGATCTTAAATAACGTTACTGTACAATGTTGCGGCAGTTAGCTGTGCTTTTCTTCAAAATAGGTATAAATTTTATTTTAGATAATAAAAATTTTTTAACAACAGTTATTCAGATTTTAATAAACTCTCTCAACAACACGACGAGGTTCTACCAAAAATTCTTCACGTGGATATGCAGCCACTGGTCTATTGTAATTTACAGCTACTGGTCCAGGTCGAACGTAAACTGGTGCAGGTTTGACATATACCGGTTCCGATCTTACAACGACTGGTGGAGGTCTTACGAATGTAGGTTCTGGCCTTACAACAACTGGAGCTTGCTTCACATACACTGGCTCTGACCTAACGTGAACTGGTGGTGGGTTAACATAGGTAGGGCCTGGTCTAACAAGCACTGGTGGAGGCCTCACTAAGACAGGTGTGGGTTTCACAACAACTGGTGGTGGCCTTACAAATACTGGCGGCGGTCTTAAAATAACTGGAGCTGGTTTAACAGAAACTGGGGTTGGCCTGACCACTACATTTGGCGGTTTCACTATCACCTGAGGTCCTGCAAAGTTTTAAAGAACAAATAAGCTGCAAATTTCTGCTTTATCAGAAGCAATTTTATACAAAATTTCAGTAAGTAGTAATGTAAGAAATAAGCATAATAGCGATAATTTACTTCCTGGCATCAAACGTGGGCTGCTTGAGTAGACTGGTCCATGCTTTGGTAAGATGTATACGGGAGCTGCAACTTTCGTTTCTACACGATACCTGGGTTCGTGCTTCTCAATAATTTGCATTCTCCTGTGAGGTGGCACAAAAACTAAAAAAAAATAGTGCTTTATATTAGAAAGCAGCTACTGTAAGTCTTCATTATAAGATTGAGTATACCAGTTATTAAAAGAGATTACCTGTTGGTTGTGAAACTAAAGCCTTTGGGGGCGTAACAACTACTGATGGTCGGGATACAACGACTGAAGGCCGAGATACAACAACCCGTCCTGGGTTAGTAATCACACGTCTGGCGTATTCTGGTTCATAACGTTGTTGAACACCGTCGTAGAATCTATCGGAATAATAGCGGCTTTCAGCTAAATTGAAATTTTGTTATCAGACTACAAGTTTTGGTCACTTTTTATCAACTAACATCTTCCGCATAGCTAACAAGCATTACGGTTTTGTTTATTTGAAGACTAAAAACTTCTTTTCATCTAAATATTTGTTTTAAACAGTCTTAGTTTTACTAATTTTCAGTAACGGTATAACTTACTAAAACCTGGCCTAAACTCTGTTCTGTAGTTTGCACCAATCGGTCTTACATCAACCTGCCTGAGTTCATCGAACCGTTGTGCTAAAAGATACGCAGGTAAGACAATGCAGATTTTATGCATCAAACATTTGTTTCTTTACCTTCTACTTTCACAAAGAATCACTTCTTAAAAATAAAATACAGAATTTGAATACATAGTACTGAAATCTTACCTGAAGCTAAGACAATAAACAGAAAGATTAACATTTTGTATTAAGCAGTTTCGTCTGAGGTGCTTCTGCGAAGAGAAACTGTTTTTTTTATCGTTTATAAGCAAAAAGTCTTCTGGGAGTGGAACAATAAAAAGTCTAGTGGCATTCAATAAACAAAAAAAAAACTTTTGGAAAAAAAAGAGTTCCTTATATGTAAAAAAACAAGAAAAATTGTTGTCTTTTATTTTTTTTTGTTTTATAAATCGTTTTTCGGATACATAACATCAATAGAATTCTCTCGTTCACTGTTATGAACAATTAGTTTTTTTCATTGCACAAAAGATAAGAGAGTATTGAGCAAAAAAAATTTTTTTCATTCCATTATCATATGCAAATTAATCAAATATTACAAAACTACTCTAATAAATGCCCTTTCAGCAATCAAAGAAAAAAAATTGGTTTCCAAATGTTGTGAGCTGATTGACCTAAACCGTGAAATCGATTATGTCAAAAAACTATACTAATTTCGGAATAATCCTTCTAAAATTTTATGCACTCAAATACCATGTTAAAGGCTCTATACAAAAAAACGAGAGCATTTTACGAGTTAAAAAACGTTTGTTTTTTACTTTGTTAGATGTTGGTAAAAAGTTATTTATCAGAATAGCTGTTCTATTATTCTGAAAAATTAAAGACAGAATTAACATCAAATAAAAAAAAATTTACCTTTTTAACCATTTATTTGAGAAAAAACGAGAGAAAAAGTAAGTGTCATAAAATATTTACGTATAATACTAAAACTAGGCAGTTAATTGCGATCACTAACTTAAGAGAAGAAAATTCTTGCAATTTGGGCTTATTTATCGGCCTAGTTCAATAAACAGTTTAGTGATATCAGATACCTGTTGACATATCTTTATTTAACAATGATTGTTTGCAGAAAAGCCATAATTTAAACAACAGAACTGTCAACAGGTTTTTGCTTTTAACCGATTTTGTATTGTTTCAGCATGAATTTCAGCATGAACTGCTGGAATATGGCTTGATAAAGTTTGGTTCATTGATGTAATTCACAACTTTCTGAAGGATTTTCAAACTCAGTCTCAATTGACTTGGACGTTTATTTATCTCCGAACACTGGACAATGCAAACGGTACGTGACAACAACAGTTTTCATCCGAAATTTTACAAAATTGTATTTTTTGTAAAAAAAAGGTAAAAAAAATAAAACTTAAATTAAATTTCGTTATTGACTTAGTTCACTAGTGTTTACCGTTTCCAAATTGAGCAGTAAGTTCTTCTAGTTTTTTTTGTTCGACTCAAAGTTTTGATGCATCTTTTTTTGATAAGACAATACTTGAGAAGTGTCAAAAAAATATTTACCTGCAAATATTTAGTTTAGTTACCTTCGTTAGTTTACGGTCATAAAAAATTGGCATTTAGTTTGGCCGTGTATAAAGAAATGTTTTCTTGTTAAGCCTGGAGACAAATGGTAAAGGCAAATGATCGGCTATTCAACCAACAGTTAGCCAGCTTTTATACATCAATCGCAGTGATTCGATACAGCTAAAACATTAGAACAGTAAATAGTTGCTTTTTTTGGTGCTATTTGATCTGTAAGAACAATAAATAAATCGCTTGTATTCGATTTTAACATTTCTTCATTCGTATAGAAGTTTTACATATGCAACACTTTGATCACTTTAAACTGTTCTTTAGTAGTTCAGTTACTGCAGATGGTGGCAGAAACAGCTGCAAATAAAAACTCTTTATGAACGCATATGCATATTGAACAGTGAAGTATATCTTGAATATCTGTTTTGGAAATTAAGATACTGCATAAACATGAGGTTAAAGTGTGTAAGTCATAAACGATTTATGTATTTTTTTGTGTTTATATGTAAATCTAACCAATAAAAATTATTGTTTAAGAGGCATAAGCTTTTGTCTTACATGTTCAGCACCTGCTAACAAACCCAGCAGGAAACTCACCGTTTATCTCTTCAATTTTTGTAATTACTTAGAAGCAAAGCAGTTTTATTCAGGTAGAAAATACTATACGAGAAAGACAACCGACTTTTAAGCGTATTCAGTTTTTAACCCTTTTAGATTTCTCAGTAACTTTTGTCATCTTACTTATCTTTCCTAGACTAAAGTACTTTTATCAGTAAACTTTTTTGTGGTGGTGAAAGTTCACTTCTGTTTGTACGCTTTTAGCAAAAACATTTATATTTGTTGCGAAGATATTCTTTTAAGTGTCAGAGATACAGTAACGATGATAAGCTTACTAGGTTTTATACGTCTTTATGACATTACTGCTGTGTCAAAAAAGGTACTGTTTCAAACGTATTTTCAAAAACATCTGCTTTTTAATTAATGACGGTATTCATCAGGAAGTCATTATCGCAGGGCTCATACATGTTTCGCCTAGTAAACTCGTGACGAATATATGGTTTATTGTGAATGATTTCGGGTTCTCGTACAAGGACTTCTTGGCGTGGAAGAACTAAAAAAGATATATCGAGTAAGTGTCGTTCAAAGAGAAATTTTGCTGCTTTTTCTGGTAACTATTTTTTCTAAAAACTTGTCTTGCATAAATTTTTTAAGGTCGTTTTGATGCTGAGTTTTTTTGTTTTGGGATGAAAACTGGTAGTTTTGAAAAGCAGACTTAGCAAACTGAGTATACTTACCGATTGGTGGTGGAACAATAACTTGTCTCTCTGGTAATTTTATGTTGGGCTCTGGTACAACTACCTTGTGTTGTTTCACCTCAATATGCTGTCTTGGAACAGTTACTAGATCAGGAACGACAACACGTGGTGATGGAACTTTAACCACTGGTTCTTGCAGATGAACTTGCGGTTCTTTCACAGTTAAATGGTATGGCGGCACAACAATCGGTTCCATTTTTATATCCTTATCGTGCGGAAGATTGACGTGCGGTTGGGAAAGAAGGACTTCTGGTTCATGCACATTAACTTGGTGCGGTGGAATATGAATTGGAGCTTGTTCGATGACTTGATCTGGTGGCAGATGGACACGTGGCTCAGATACGACAACATTTGGGGCATCGACAACAACGTGGTTCGGCTCAACAACTACTGGTTTTTGTTTCACTCTGATGGTTTCGTGATGGACAAGCACTGGTTCATGCTCGCAGTTCGTTGTCACAACTGCAGCCAAGCTTTATCAGTTACAACAAATTGATTTATCAAATAAGTAAAGCTTTTCTTTAGCATATAAATTCTATAGTTTTCATTTGTACTTAAACTCAACTGAATTTCAAATAAAACATTTTGTTCTGCCAAAAATGCAGTTTGCAAATGGTAGTAAAAAAGACAGTCTTCAAAACTTACCGCCAGCTCTGTTGTGTACATAGCAGTCGCAAGACACTAAAATTACATTAAGATTAAGCAAGAATACCTGAGACCAATAGTCAAAATTTTTTAGCCACAAATAGTACAAACGATTTTTTGAAGAGTTAAGCTAATTTAAAGATTTTAAGCTGCGATCACAGCAAATTTTAGTAATTTTGATAAATTCAATTAAAAAGTACCAAACTACAGAAAAAAATTGAAAAATTAAATTGCACGATTAAAGTATCGAAAAAGATTCCTGAAAGTGTACAAAAAAGTGCTTACAGACTAAAGCAAAAAGGATGAACAACATTTCCTCGGACACTGTTCGATTGGATGTATGGAACTATGAAAATAGGTAAGGGGTCGAAAAGCTTTTATAGAAGACCAGTTTGAGGTAGAACAATAGAAAGGTCTTTGGTTGCTTTAGAAAACAAAACATTTAGGTATTGATATTTTTTTCAAAAAGTCAAAGAACAAAACGAATATTCTTTATTTCTATTAGCAACTTTTTCCTTGGTTTCTAAAAACATTTCTACATGGGTAAATTTGCAAATATTTTCACATTGTTCTCTTCTGTTTCAGCAAACTGTTTTCAGAAACTTTTTTTTATGTTTTGCTTATTTTACCTATAAATCAACGGTGTTTGAATACAATGTGTTTTTGCAGTATCGAAGAACAGATAAAGAGAAAAAATTTCATTGAAATCGAGGTCTGCTCAACAGTTTTTCCGCAGTCCAAAATTTGTGTTTGTTTCATCAATATTTTCAACAATTACGGTTTACGGTTTTGCCAACTACTTTGTGAACAGTTTTTTTCTTGTAATGAATGGTTTATAGAAGTTGTATAGTTATATTTTAGGTTAGCAAAGTGTGAACTTGCACACCAAACCAATTTTTTTCTATACTTATGAAATTTTCAGCATTTAGAAATAGTCTACAAAATTTTTCATATTTTTTTAATCATTTTCTACGATCTGCAACCAAGAATTAAAAATATAGTTTTGAAAGAATTTGTGTACTTTTTCACTCAGAAGTCACGAGGCTCCCTCAAAATTTACGAGGAAAATTTTTTGGTTCGTCAACGACTTTTAGGCAAAATTTAATAATGCATAACATTTAAGAAACAGATATTTGCTTAAAATTTTGTGAACCTTTTGCCTGCACCGCGTTGCTTTTTTACTTGTTTACAACTTTTCTGACTGTTATTGTCGTTTTTGTTAGCTTTTGTTTATTGAAAACTGTTTAGTCTTTACATTTTTCTAGACAAAACACAGAAATTTCATTATGTTTTGTCGTACTGAAGTGAAAGTTGCAAAACTTTCATGAAATTTTCTAATTAATTATAAAATAATTTAAGCAAAAAATTATAAGAATAACACCAATCAACCAGTTTTCTGCTCGGCTTTTCAAACGTTTTTAGTTCTTAGAGATCTTCCTAAAAACAGTTTTTTGAAAATTTGATAAGAAAAGGGTTAAAAAAATTTTGCATAAGCATTAGGAAAAAGTGATTGAAGAAAAAAAGGTAAAAAAAACTTTAAGTTTTAGCGACAAATTTTAAACTAATATTACAGTTTTGTTTTTTAATGCAGTTCAGTTTGTACAAAAATAAAGAGTTAGTTTCGATAGCACATTTAATCTTTAAATTTGTTTGTTTTTCTCTAGCTTCTTTCCTGTTCAAGTTATTTAAGGTTGATACAGAAGCATCTGACAATTCCTTTCAAATTACTGAGTATATACAAAAAAGTTAAGTAAAATAGATTAAAAATAAAAAAAAGGTCTTAAGCAATGTAATACAATATTTTTTTGGAATATAGCAAAAACTACCACAACAGTTAGAAGTTAAAGATTCAATGCCATTATTATATATATAT